TTGCCTCACCACTTGACCACTTGCCTACCTTCTAGAAGGTCTACAGCTAAGCTTCCAGAACTCACTAAGACTCCTACGCTATAGACCTACAGATCGAACCCCCGCCGTCTATGGACCTACGACAGGTCTACCAACTGCCTACAAATACACTGGTCACAGGTTCAATTCTCGGGGTCTACACAGATACTGTACATGGGTAGGGTGAGGTCTAGGGATCGGACCCTGGGTACTGCATCCGCTACTGCTAAAAGGTGAAAACCATTTCACAGGCAACCACTTCTTTACGAAGATTGATCTTCGTAGCAATTACCATCAGATCCGCGTCGCTGCAGCGGTCCAACCGAAGACAGTGTTCCGATCGCGCTTCGGGAAGTATGAGTTTACGGTGATGCCATTTGGCCTCACCAACGCACCCCTTACCTTCCAGACGACGATGAACAACATCTTCAGGGACATCCTGGAGCAGTACGTTCTCGTCTACCTCGATGATATCTTGATCCACAGTCGTACCCTTGAGGAGCATCTCAGACACCTTATGCAAACATGACTTCTACGCCAAGATGAGCAAGTGCCGCTTTACCCAGCGCAAAGTGGATTTCTTAGTACACCATGTGTCTGACCAGGGTCTCCACATGGTCGACTCGAAGATCACTGCCATCGCGGACTGCCCTAACCCCAAGTTTGTCAAGCAGGTTCACATTTTTCTTGGACTTACGAGTTATTACAGTAAGTTCATCTGAGCTTATGCCTCCTACTCGCATGTCCTTACCTCTACCCTCCTTCGGAAGCACCAGCTATGGGCTTGGACACCCCTTCACGAGGACGCCTTCCACGCCCTCAAGAAGGCGGTGACATATGCACCGATTCTCCACCTACGCGATTTTGATCGCCCTTTTATCCTTACCACCGATGCGTCAGACTTCGTTGCAGGAGCAGTGCTTTCTCATATTTTCCCCTCCTCTCCTGATTCCTCTCATCCTCGCATCCCTCACTTCCCACCTCTTATCCCTACCCCTGCTTCCCGCCTACCATTGTCGAGGACGACACTATCGAGTCTTGCTCAGGTGAGATAAACTACACTGCCGATGAACGTGAGGTTCTTGCAGTAGTTCATGTCACTCGCCACTGGCGTCACTACCTGCGCGGGGTGCCATTCACGGTGCGCACGGACACTTCTGTTGTCCAGGCTTTTCTGACAAAGTCGAAGCTCACTTCTCGACAGGCTCGCTGGTAGCAGGACCTATCCGAATTTAGTTTCACCACTGAGCACATCAAGGGTGAGACCAATCGAGTTGCAGATGCCTTATCTCGACACCCTAACCATGATCAGCAGCAGATCCAACTCGCTGCCATCTCGGTCACCACCGTCCACCCCTTGGTGACCGACGAGTTTCGCACTCATTATCGCCATTGCCCTGACTATCGCGACATCCATGCGACCCTTCGGAGTGGCAAGACCATCCCGAACTACTATCTCGGGGACAACGGTCTTGTGTACTGGTACGGTTCACAGGGCATCAGAGAGCCCCCCATTTGTGTTCCCTCCACTAGACAGCTACGTGTCCAGGCAGTAACAGAGTTCCATGACCAGGCAGCTGCCGGTCATATGGGCTTCCACAAGATGTTGGCTCGTGTGAGCCGCCTGTTCGTCTGGCCAAAGCGCAAGGACTTTGTGAAGGACTACGTCGCGGAGTGTCCCATCTGTCAGGAGGTGAACAATGCGAGTTATTTGCCTTATGGTTTGCTCCAGCCTCGTTCTATCCCTGAGGGTCGTTGGCAGTCCATGTCGATCGACTTTATCGGTCCTCTTCGTCCTCCTACCCCCCGCAGTCATGATGTTATCCTGGTCCTCGTCGACTGCTTCACGAAGCGCGCACGCTTTGTTCTGTGCCGCTATGCCATTGGTGCACGTGAGGTCGCTGGCATCGAGTTTGACCGGGTCACGCGTGACCACGGCTTACCCCCTTGAGCATCATATCTGACCGTGACCCGCGTTTTACCAGCCAATTATGGCGACAACTCCACGAGGTGTACGGCACCCAGCTCCGCTTCTCCTCGTCTTACCATCATCAGACTGATGGTCAGACCGCAGTCACGAACAGGACTCTCGAAGATATACACCTCACCCAACTCCACTTCTTGTCTTACCATCCCTAGACTGATGGTCAGGCCGAGGTCACGAACAGGACTCTCAGAGATATTCTCTGAAAGATTGTTCGTGACGAGCAACAGTGGGATCTCCATCTTGCCCACGAGAAGATAGCCTACAACCACGCCGCCTCGCCAGCCATGAGGATGTTGCCTTACTATTGCGACCTCGGCTATCACCCTTGTGTTCCCGCGGACTTCCTTCGGCCGTCACATATGCACCCCGACACGAGTTGTCCCAACGATGATCGAGTTGCACACATGACGTCGATCATGAAGACCGCGCATAAACACATAGTCGCTTCCCAGACTCGCATGGCCGCACGTGCGAACCGATCATGAATTATCATTTATTCAAAGTTGGTGATGATGGGCTTGTCGACACCCGCCACTTACAGCTCGAAGCGGACACGCTTCGCAAGTTCCGACGTTGCTTTTTTGGCCCATGCCGCACTCTCCACGCCGTCGGTTTTGATACGCCATCTAGCCGGGTCAGCTTCCGTGTGAAGTTGCCCGACTACATACGCCAGGCTCGTGTGCACGATGTCTACTACGTCTCGTTATTGTGTCCCTATCGCAGACCATTCGAGCGTTTCGTTGGACGACCATACGAGCGCCCTCCACCCATCCTGGTGGACAACCACGAGGAGTTCCTCGTTTCAGACATCATTGGCCACCAAGTCACCGACAACAACCCTCCTCACGTCGAGTATCTCATACGTTGGAAGAGTTACCCTGATGAGGAGGCTACTTGGGAGTCCCTCGGGCACTTGCAGTACGCTCGAATGTTGGTGTGTGCCTATGACTGTGCTCGTCGTGCTAGGTTGACTGCTCCTCCTCAACCCACTAACCCTTTTCCTTCTCCCTCGGTCGAGGAGATCGCTGAAGTCCAGCCTGCTCCATCTGAGGCAGACCTTCCGCAACAGCCGGATGCTTCTGAACGTCCACATCGCACTCGTCATCGTCCTGCTCGATGTGATGATTGACTCTGATTTCTCTTTCCATGTCTTTGACTTCTCATTACTCTATCCACACCGGTTTTGCTACTTCAGCTTGTCGATGTTGTGGCTCTTCCTCAACGACATTCAAGACTTCTCATCATGGACGTCATTGGCAGCTCTACGGACTTCGTCACGATCAACCCTGCCTACTTCAGACGTCGTCAATCTCTTATCGCTTTACCCTGTACAGTACCCTGGTTGTGTGGCCTGATGGTCTCCCTTAGTTGGTGTAGGGGCTGTACCCTGAAGGACTTTCGAGCCTTAGTCGACCCTACTGCGGGTCCCATTTGGCTCGACCCGCCCACGCTCACGCTCAGGGCGCGGGTCATTCGTCCCAGGGGCACCCCCACCTAGTGCAATGAGATGGATGGGGATGGGCCTTTTGCGAGAGGGCTTTACATTGGGGGATGTAGCTCCGCTCTCGCGTTAGATGGTAACTCTTTGATCACTCGTGGCGTTTTCTCGATTCACTTAGGTGTGACCAAACAATTGCTCCTTCCAATACACAAGCAGTCCAGGAAGTTCGTTGAGAATTCGCCTTCTTTCGTGCGTAGGTCAAGCGTCATCCATTGGGCCACACACCTTTTCACTAAGCGTGGTCATTTCTACGGCATCATCGGGGTGCGGCCGCACCGTCCAAGCCCCTAGCCCCTATATTTTTTGCTTGACAATCCTCGTACTCGCATATCCATCGCTGCCCTTAGTCTTTTCAGGCTTCCATATTGCACACAAAGAATCAAGATACGCATTCATCACACAAGCCATGTCCCTTTTCCCAAGCACACGATCATCAAGTCCCACCCGCATCCATAGTTTACGCTAGGCCCATGTCCATCCCTTGTCGATTTTCCCATTCTTGCCCGCGTTCCGCGGATCCAGTCCCGCTCAAACCATCCTAACCTACTCACCTGCGCAAGACCACACAGAACAAAAGCCAAGTACAATCCCCATTGGGGTCAACACATCGCCCCTCCCACAAGCCTAAGTTTTCTTCTCTTCCCATGGCCTTTTTGGTTTTCTTCCCCTTCCCTCAAGCAAGCCATGCTTCTTCCTTAGTCATGCAGTCGGGGAGAATGGTTGAGTCAAACTGACCTTGTCACGAGCCTTCGCTCCTTCCTGCTTTTACCAAAGATCCCGCCTTTTCAAGTTCCCACAAGAGTCCCGTTCCTTTCCCTCTTGGTGACACAAGGGACTGGCAGCCCTCCCCTTGCCCTCTCTTTCCACCAAGTGAGGACCAAGTTCTTTGCTTGTGCGTTCCCTGACAATGTAACGGGTGAGAGGAAAGGTTAGACACGTACCAAGGGGAAGGTCAAAGGGGGAAGGGGAAGGAGAGTGGGAGGAAGAAAGAGAAGGAGAGTGAGGGAAGGAAAGAGAGAGAGAGAGAGAGAGAGAGAGAGAGAGAGAGAGAGAGAGAGAGAGAGAGAGAGAGAGAGAGAGAGAGAGAGAGAGAGAGAGA